TAGCTCTTGCTTCTGGCTCAAAAAGCCAAGCTCAGTTTTCCCTCTGTCCTGTCCACACACAGCCCAAGAAAGACCTGCTGTGACCAAGTGACACTGAGACCACCCCCTGCTTTTGGCTGTACGAACAGAAGTGTTCACTAGTGTCCCCTGCCAGTCTTGTTCACGGCTGGCACCTGCAGCACCTCCTCTTCAGGAAGGGTCAGTGGTTGCCTGAGAGACAAAAATGCCTCTCAGAAGGCAAAACACCTGCAGAAAGCCACCTGAAGACCTTTTTGTCATCCAGCAGAAGATGAGGGTGAGAGTTTTTTGGTGGCCATGGAGCACAGCCAGCAAAGCCCTGCTCTCTGTACAGCTGTGTCACAGCAGCCCGCACTCCACAGGATGCTCTCAGCACATGGGGCAAATTCTCCCTGTGCTGCTGGACTTTTGTAGGAATCCTCCAGGGCCTTGTGAGCAAAAGGCCCCTGCTCTGTCCCTCTGCCTGAACCCACAGCTCCCACCCCGCTCCGGCCGGCTCAGCACCCGCTCTCCCCCAGCTCCTTCCTGCACATGGCACTGGGAGCTCCAGCAGCTGATCCCCTTAATTAGGTCACAAATGGATCACGTGTAAAACACTTGCACCAGCCAGGTCCTCTGAAGGAAAAACACGCAAGCCCTGCTACTGGGGTAAAAGCTCGGGAGAGGAAAGATGCCAAAGCTGAAATAACTCTTCAAAACTTTGTCCGTAGGAGCCTTGCTTCAGTTTCTGCTCGACAGCTGGGCCCCTGCTCCCTGACACTGGAGCTAAGTGGTAGCAGTGCTTTAATTTCCTCTTGCTTCTGCTGCAATGCCAGATTGCCTGGATATTCGTAAACAGAAGGAATTTAATGAAAATTATAATTAGAGCCCTGCGGTGCTCTTGCAGGTCGCCTTTACACTGGGCTGCCTATTTACATTACAAATCAGGCTGGTGTCACTGCAGAGTCTACAGCAAGAGAAGAGAATTCATTAAAAGGGAAGCAGGGTGGGTGAGAAATAGGGAAGAGAGAAAATGATACTGTTATTATTAATAATCTAGGAAATTGGGAGCTGCCACGGTCTTGCTGCAGCTTTGCTCCTCGAAGGAAAGCTCATCCTAATCAGCCTGGAGCAGGAGGGGACACAGCACAGTCACCCAGAGACTTCCAAGGCAATTACTGTTCAAATGGACCCTTTTTTTCATAGACAAGGCTTTCTCACCCCACCAGGACACAGAGAAGTGCTCTTATCACCTAGCTGTCAGTTTGGGGGTGTTAGGAAGAGACAACATGAAGCCAAAGGGATGCAGTTCCCATTATTTTGCAGCTTTCCCTTTCCACCTGCCAGCAGCTCCAGATGATGCTTTTTGCCCCCTGTAATGCCACGTGGAGCAGCTCCTGCTCCTGCTCCTTACACTGAGCCCTCAAGCACAACTGGGGACTGTCTTCCCATCTAAGCAGTGAAATTAGGAGTAACGACATCGTTTCACACAGAGAACTGCTGAACACTTGGGTCCTGTTTGTAAAAAGCTTCTGTAACATTCCACAGCAATAATCCTGTGCACTAACAGCATCTTCACTGCCATTGTGGTTTTTTGGATGCCCACCTGCCTGTGGTGGCAAAAAAGAGGCAGCTTGGGAACTTCCCACAGTGACAGCAGCACCAACCCTAACCCTCAGCTTTCCCTTCACTGTCACATTCTCAGCACAGAGAGCTGAACTCCCCCTGCTCCCATGCCTGCATCCCCCAAATGAGAAGCTGGAGGTATTTTAGGAGTTGGGCTGCAAACAGGCCAAGCGGTTTGTTTGCTTTTCATCCACACTATCATCATATAAAGTGACCCATACTGTGACAGCTGGGTTTTAATCATCGCCAGTAACAATAATGTTTGTGCTTTGCCCAAAAAAACCCTAACCAAAACACAAAAAATGTCTTTATATCAGTTAAAAAAAAATGGACAAAATGAAAAATTATAATTGAAAAAACATGTAGCCATTTTGTCAGCTGAAAAATAGATATCAGTGAAGAAATACTGACCAAGTCTCCCCTAATGAATGTACCAGCAAATTTCCAGGCCTGTCATCAGAGCATGAAATGAAAAAGAACTGGGAAGAAAATAGTATTTTGGGCATGAAAAGCATTTAGCAGTTCAGCTTCTGGTTCCAGTAAAATGCTTCTGACAGGAAGAGTTTTAAATTGGAACAAACAGGAAAACAATGATTTTGTTCAAATCAGGGACTGTCAGAGGCTTTCAGGGTATTGCAGGAATTTTCCAATAACCACAATCCCCACAAAGAACTTCCCTCTAAGAAGTGGATAGAAAATGAATCAATCACTATTGATTTTCATCATCTGATTGCTACTCTTGAAGAAAATCAGTCCTACTTAAGCAATTGATAAGTTACCTTAGCAATTACAGGTAAAACCCTGGCTTTCCTTGCCTCCCTCAAGGCATATAAACTAGGGATATTCCGGTTTTCCAGCCATTTCAGAGCCAATTTTATGTGATGAAAGATGAATTCTGAGCTGTCACCCATATCTCAAGAATCACCAGCACCCTCAGCATGGTCCCTCAGAGGTAAGGAAGGCTGAGCTGCTCCTGAGCTTCTTCCTCAGCTGTACCTCCCCATGAGCAGCACAGGCTGCAGAGCAGAACCCCAGCTCTATTTTCCCCAAATAAACGCAAGAAAACAGAGACACACAAAGTGCTCAAACAGATTAATCAAGTAAATATCTCAAGAGGGAGCTGGCAAAAAGTTTAGGCATGATTTGAGGCTGAAGATGTGCCTCCCTCTTTCACGGGTGACAGAGTAGGTTGGGAACTGCAAACCGCTCTGGGCAGTTGTGGAAGGGTGAGAGCACAGCTCTGCTGCAAAACATGGTCTGAGTGCTGGGAATCAGGGCTCCAGGGTGGATTTTCTGGGATTCACAGCATGAGAGTGGCTGTGGGGGAAGTCACTGTGGTTTTCTCATGCCCACTGTCTCCTGCACCGCTTTGTTTCCTGCTATGTTTGAGAGGAGCTCAGCAAAACCAAAGATTCTCATCAGGGATTTATCAGGAATACAGAACCATGCTGAAAACCCACTAAGGTTTACTGAATTCTCCCACTGGCACTGATAGCATTGACCACCTCATTTTTGGTGCTGCATGCCCTTTGTTTTTGCTCCTCAGCCCAAGTGGATGATGAAATGAGAGCCGTGACGTTCACTTTGATGGAGGCGAGCTGCTGGCTTTCCAACAGGGTAAATAGGGATTCAGTGCCTTTTAAAAAGCATTATTTTTAAAGGAAAGCCCTTTTGAGTGAGAGCTAGAATGGGGTTATTTTCCACATGACCAAGCACCAAAAGGAAAGCAGCAGCCCAGTCCATGCTCTTATCACCCTCCCTGAGTCACCCACTGGATAGATTTGTCACAAGATGAAATAAGAGCAAGTCCTCAATTTATTATCATTTTCTACTTGTCCTCCTTAATGCAGTTCCTGCCAGGATGAGTTTGCTGTGGGAAAGTGGAATGAAACCAGGCCTTTCAGTTTGCTGCTAAATGGGACTGGGGGGAGGAAGCTTCCAGGGGGGAGGGAAAATCTTCCTCATTAAAAGGGGAAAATGTGCAACGCAGAGTTTTCATCGGATGCTGCCCAGCCTCCCAATTAGGGTGGCTGGGACAAACAGTGGTGTTATTATATGTAACTGTTTATCCAGTGTCACTCAGCCATTGTTTATTTTATGAGCATAATTTATCTCCTCCGTTGTGCTACCCAATTTGTTTGCATTTTCAGTCCACTCAAGTGTCTCTCTTTCATTGTGTACATCTTTTGGCCTCCCACCAACCAACCCTCCAAGTTTCCAGGAGTGTCACACAATGGCCAGGCCCCTCCTGTGCCTCATTTTTCGCATGACATTTTTGTCCCCTTATTTCTGCACTGCCCCTGCCCCTCCCCTGCTGCAGACTCGCAGCTCCTCAATGGCTCATGGTTTATTCAACAGCAAAGCTGAATTTCTCTTTTCCCTCTCTTTTTCCACTTTCCCCTCCTTTTGAAAATAGAGGCTGGTCAATAGATGCCACTCTGGCAGCTCTGGAGAACAAAGTTCACTTGCAGCAAATCTTTGTGATCGTGTCTCCATGGGGCAAGAGTTTGGTGACCCTGTGGGGCTCAGTTCCAACCAGCAGCTCACACAGGGGGCCCCCACAGACTCTTGTGGCTCCTTCAGCCATGGAAAGGGACAAACACTTGCCCTCTATTAGCTTGTGACACCAAAGCTTCATCCACAGCTCTCTGTGGAGGTGTGAGATGATTCCTCATCCCTGGAACAATGGCATCTTTGGTTTGCTCCTACTCCAAACTTCCTGGCCATTTTTGACCCCCAAATCCTCCCATGTTCTTGCTTGTGGGTCTGACTGCAAGGATTAGCTAAAACTGAAAAGTGCTAATCTACATTATGGAAATTCAAATCCTTGCTGCTACATTAAGTAATTTCAAGGAAATTTAATCTGGCAGGACTCAGAGGTGACTCCAGACAGTGACAACAACATCTGGGCACCACCTCTTCCTCCAGCCTGGTGATACTGCAGCAGGAAGATGCAGCATTTTCCTCCTTATTGTAGCAGGACCCTGTTTCTGTTGGGTTCTGATGAGCTCTCAGCCCTGGCCTACAGCTGAACCTGGGGTTTACTGCTTCATTCCCACTGGGTGTGCCAGGATTGGGATCCTGGGATTTCTGATAGAAAATCTGGACAGTGTCTCAGCACCAAACCCCAGAGCTCCATCTGAAATGCCCTTTGTTTAGAGGTTAGTGGCCAAAACTGGGAGTGAGGAATTTTACAGGGCCAAGGGAGGCTTCATGCGCCGCCACCTCCTGTCACTGTGAGCTGCTCCAGAAATTCATCGTACTTGAAATGATTCACTCAAGTATCCATTCAGTCTCAGTTCATGGATTGCAGAGCCTTTATTGCACACCCATATATTTAGCACTGGGATAGTTCTCAGCAGTTCTAACAGCCCTGTCATCTAAGGAATAAAACAAAGAGCCATTATTCATCACAAGGGAGACACAGTCTTTATTGTCTGAAGCCATGGCAGTTTTTCTATCGCCCTATCTATTCTTCCTTGCTGTCACACAACTCAGCTTTAAGCTCTCTCAGTGGCAGCCCTGGAGGCCCAAATGTTTTGTAGCTTCTCCCAGTGAAGTGCCTGGCTAATGCTGTGCTGGGCTGACCCCAAGCTCGCAGGAGCAGGAAGGGGAACCTTTCCAGAAAAGCTTGAGGTGGACATTCATCTCTGCTAAGTCAGGAGTAAAAGCCAGGCAGGGTTATTTAAAGACATGGGGAAGCACAGTTACACAAAGAGATGGATGGATGTGAGTTTGGGGCACTGATTATTCCCAGAAGACCTGGGGTTTGGCCCTGGCCTGATGGCAGCGCTGTGTTGGCTGTAGGACACACCAAGCTGTGCACATCACCTGTCCCAGCCTCCCTGCAGCCCTCCTAAATAGCCTCAGGGTTTTCTTGGGCGATCTGTGTCCAGCATGCAGCTGGAGGAACCAGTCTGGCTCTCTGAATCCAGATATCTGGGGATTAATACCTTGGGATCCAAGCATGAACCACCCTCCACCTGCTTAGCATCTGCCTGATTTGCCCTGTGCCTCTGGGAAAAGCAGGCCAGATTTGGGGCCACAAGACCCCCTCAGGCCGGATTTGGGGCCACAAGAACCCCTCAGGCCGGATTTGGGGCCACAAGACCCCCTCAGCAGTGCAGATGAGCCTGTTAAATGCAAAGAAAGCAGCACCATTCAAAGAACCAGCTACATCAGGATCTCCTCAGGCTTCAGGAGCATTTGAGGCTGAGCCTGTGTCAGCACAAGGCGAGACAAGGAGTAGAACACACCTCCCTGAGAAGGTGCTGTGCAGGAGCTCTCACCAGATGTTTGCAGTAAGGCAAATTCATCCTTCCCTTGGATGTCTCAGCTCAAAATGAGATGGGAAACTTGGAGATCCACAATCCTAAAAAGCGACACGTATCTGAAAAAAAATTGCACTTTCCCAGCTTTTTAATTTGCTTTAAGGTTGGTAATCACATCTCCAAGCATCCAAGCTCACTTTTCTCCACATGCTCAGACAGCAAAGGGCACAAAACAGCCTGTGAACTCCCATCACACTTCTCCCAGCACCCGCTCTGCTCCCTGCTGAACAGCCAGCAATCTCCCAGGCTAATTAGCCAAACGGTATTCTGCACATATTTAGCATTTCTGAGTAATTAGGATAATCAGATTTCTCCCCTAATTCTGTACATCTACAATACAAGCAGGTGTATTGCCTTTCCCACAATGGCAGCACAAGAAGAGTGTTGTCTGCTGGAGCCAGGGGTGCCAGCAGCCTGTCAGAGCCCATTCCCATCTCCCACATGGAAACCTGGGATTACCAGCAGCCATGGGGAATTGGGAACTGGGTTTGTGTTGGCTAAGCAACCAGTAGTTCAGATGTTCATGCAAGTTATCTAAGTGCACAGTCCTCAGATCTGGCCAGAGATGCAGATGTTCCCTTCACTGTCCTCCAGGGATCAGGGATGTTTTGTGCTGCAGTTGAACAGCAGGTGTTTGGCCCAGAACCTCAGAACCGTTTTGGGTTCTGGGGAGGTTCTGGGAGTCTGCCCAAGACTCAGGACTCAGGTCTTGGTCATTCTCCAGCAGGTTCATCAGCCCATGGGCCTGGTCCTTATCTCTGTGAACCTGTGAGCTGGCAACCACTTGTCTCTGGTCTGTGCCACTTCCAAGCTCTCTTGAAATGAATGACCTCAAATGAAGGTCCAAGACAGTCAGGCCAGGCCAACTCTTTCCTGTCCTGCTGAGGTGGATCTTTGATTCAAGAGATTTTCCTCTAGCCAGCTTCACTCAGTACTTCATTATCAGGGAAGAAGAAATTTGGGTTTTTTTAAGTGCCCATACTCATGGTTCATACATCCTAGTTCAAGGAGCATTTGGATGTGGTGCTTCCATGGGAGCTCTTAAAGGAGTGCCAATGATCCAGCATCTCTCAAAGAAGGAAAGGCTGCTCCCAACCCTCACAGCACAGAGTTACACTCTCCCAAGTAACTGGACCATAGCAGCAATATTAAGCAAAGACCCTGCCACGTTCCCTCTGCAAAAACACCATCCATCTGCTGAGCTTCAGGCAGGGGAAGAAGTTTGCTTGGAGACCTTAGAGTAGAACCCAGTGTACTCTCAACTCAAAGAAGACATTTCTAACATGCAGGACAATGCTCTTGTTGTAGTTCTGTAGAATAACATCCAAAATTCCTAAATATGAACAAACCTGAGTAGGGCCAGGACTTAAGATTCCTCCTGATCTCCAAGTAGGTCAACCATGCTGGTACTGAGATTGAGCTCTGGTTACCACAGAGGTAATGTTCAGGTGGAGCTGAAGACAGACAGCGACAAACTGTTAATTGTGGGGAGCCTGTTTTTCCATGATGGATGACCACAGCACTCAGAGCACACCATGCAAGGCTACACTCAATATTTTATAAGTTGTGTGTGGGTAATAAAATGCTCCATCCCCTTCTTTAGTGTCCTCTATCTCACCTTCCTGCTCAGATGAAATGGTGCTCACAGATGAACTATCCCCAGGGAACAGCACTTGGAAAATATAAATCAGCACCAAATGCTTTAATGGGTCTAAGGCTGTTGTCAGGGTCACCACAGATACAAGACAGGTCCTGGTCCCCTGAGAAGGGTCACAGGAAGCATCTTCCCAGGCTTTGTGTATTTTCTATAACTGTGTGTTCATCTGAGCACCTAAATCCATTTTTATAAGGTCTTAGGACTTCAGGAGAAATGAAACTGAGCTATCCTCAGTACTGTTCAATTCTTGTTCTTTCCTCTTAGCCCAGGAGACTAGCTGGCCAAGTGTTCCCCAAGGAAGGCCAGAGTGTGTCCTGTATCATTCTGACCTCAGGGCAGGGATGTCCCAGGTCACAGGGATGGCACAAGGACAGAGCACAGCACACCCAGCCCTCCCGCGCCACTGCTGGGCACTGGGATGGCTCTGCTGCTGCAACAGGGACAACCTGTGCTCCCACACCCCTGAACATCAGGGCTGGGCACACTTCTGTGTGCTTGCTCTGCTGGTTCAAAAGAGCACGATGAGGATCCTGGTTTTACTGAGTTTTGAGCACTGGAGGGAAAAAATGGAGGGTAAAAACAAATAAATAAAGGGAAGAAAGCAGATATTTTGCTAGCCAGAGAGAGCCAGGGGAGCAGGTGGGAAGCTGCCTGCAGGGCTGGCCAGTCGCTGAGAGGTGGCAAAGGAAGCTGGCACAGCAAGTTGTGACGTCTGCCCGCCTCGAGCAGGTGATGGAGACAAGCTGTTGCCACAGTTCCCACAGTATATTTTCATTAGGCCCAGGCAGATGGCAGCTGAGGTCACTGCTTCCACCTCATCATCCTTTCAGCCCAAAGGTGTCAGGGAATCTGACATCTCAATTACTGAACCTGGAATCACCCAAGCAGCACCTGATGGACGATGGGGGAAAGGGCACCAGAAAAGCTGCGCTCCTGATTTCCATGAATTCTCACCTTTGAGAGAAAATCTGGGACGTGTGCTTCCCTGATAAACAACATATTTGTGTCCAACGTACTGACACAAACGCAGCTGTGCTAAGAACGAGCCACCGACACCAGGAAAATGGCAATTAGGTCCTTGTGGAAAATAGACCAAAAGCCAACCCTTGGAAAAGACATTTGATGTTAATGAGCTACAGCAAAGTCAAGGGAGGAGATATTGATCCTGCCCCAGCAGAGATCTCCTGCTCGCTCCTCCATAGTCTGTGAAGCCTCAGAACACAGAGCAAAATAAAACTTCTTTTCTTCACAAGGACTCTCAGATGTGGGGCCAGGGCTTGGCTAAGGCAGGAGGAGCCAGAGCAACATCACCATTGACTTCTCTGTGCTCAAGGTGAAACACAAATCTGACACGCTGATGAGAACCAGCAACCCTGCTGAAACATCATCTCAGAGATTTCTGCCAGATATTTCAACCATTTCCATTTTTCTCCTCCTTATTACTACCACCCTCTCTCCTATTATTACTTTACTACTACTGATTCTCAACTTTTTACTCCTGTCAATCCATACTTTTGTAATCCCTACTATTATCCCTGGCAAGAAGAAGGTGAAATAAGATTCTGACTCTTACCAAAGATCAATAAACAAATGAAGCAGAAGTTGTTTATTCTTAGTCTGAAATCTCATGAACTTTAAGGTAATATTATGACTCTGGAACAATTTCGAAATATCTCAGATTCCAATTTCCACAGGGCGTTTATTCATTGAGTTTCCTTCTGCAACAAAAATACCCCAAACCACTGTGAGCAGATGAGTCACTGCAGCAAAGCACCACCCTGAGCAACACCCAAACCTGTGCTTTCCCTTTGAGGATCTTTCTCCTTAAACCCCACCATGAGTTGGGTCTGGGGGAGACATGATGATGTCAGAGATATTTGAAAGGTGAGAACCTCCAGGGTGCACAACCCCAATATAACAAAAGTACAACAAACCAGCTTCCTTTTGGGGAGACTTTTCAACATTTTTCAGAAGTGTTTTCAAGCTTCTGTAAAAGTTCAAAATATTTGGGGTTTGGCACAATAAACACCCCCATCATTTTCAGCAAACATTGCTAAATGCCAAGGTATTTTCTTCTTTCTTTGTCCAGAAATGTCTTTTTTTCCCTCCTCATGTTCTTGAGACAGGGAAGGAGTGAAGAATGTGCTGCTTTTGAGACAAAAGTTTCCACTTGGTAGAAAGCTCTCTTTCCACCAAACTGAAATGCAGAGACACAACCTGTGCAGTTGGGTGTGCTCATCACATCAACTGTGGGAGGAGTGGGGACAAAGGGAACATTAAATCACAAATTATCCCTGGTTTTCGGGGGGGTGGGGTTAACAAGAAAGAAAGGTTCAGTTCTACTGACCTCAGACCCAACGTTTTGTTAATGGGAAAGGCAGGGCTACAGCTGGGGCACTTGCTGCTCACTGGATAATATGTATTTTCTTATGTGCTCAAAAAGCAATGGGCTAGTCCAAGGTTTTCCTGGAGGAAAAGAGATCACAATCTGGCCTTTGTTATCCAGTTTGTTCTCCAAGAGTTCATACTCGAGGGCCCCTGGAGCAGATTCTTGGAAGAGCTCCACTTTGCACCCCAGCCAAAATGATCCGAGTTTCCATATATTATTAGCACACAATGGAGCAACGTCAGCTCCCTTAACCCCACACCAGCCAGAGGGAGAGGGTCCCCATCAGGGAAAATCAGCTCCTTGTCTTCTTCTACTGAGAGGAAAATGGGAAGCCAAAGGAGCAGAGAGTGACTGGGAAAAATCAGAGACACTGACAAAGACACTGTGTCAGCCGAAATAAAACCCCAGTTCTCCAAGGAGAGTTGACTTCAACACCACCCTGCCCTCAGCTGCTTTTTTGGCTTGGCTTTGGCCAAGTTTCATTCCTGGTCTGAGTGGCTTTGGTTAGAGGACACAGTTCCTGTGAGTCATCTGCAATCTCCAGCACCATCATAGGAAAGGCGGATGTGGGGAGCCAGGAGAGCTGGGCACTTCTGAAACACAGACCCTAAACTGCTCCTCCCTCGTTCTTTCCTTGTGCTGCAGAGTACTGACTCCAGCTGCTCAGGAAAATCGGGGGAAGAAAAGAAAAATCTCATACAAAAATTTAACTTTTTGTAAGAAAAGCTCCACCACTCCAAAATTAAAAATGTTTGCCAGCACAGCAAACATTTGCCAGCACATTTTTGACTTTTCGCCAAAATATTCTGGCCAAAACTTGGGAGAAAAAGTCAGGATTGCCTATGGAAAGCAGATACTTCTCATGAAAATATTCATTTAGTCAAATCCCCAGGTTTCTACTGAGAGTCAGCTTCAGTGGAAAATGCTGACGAGCTCTATTATTGATACAGCTTTAATTTTCCTTTGTCTGGAACAGACACGGAGAAGACAGCATCTGTCAGACGCAGCCTTCAGTCTTACGTTATTATTTAGACTGGAATATTGTTCAAGGACTTCAGGATAGGTTGGAGCCATCACAGAGCTGGGTGCTGTGCACATCCACCAAAGACGGCCCTTTCCCTGGAGGGGTTAGAATTTAAGCATAAGCCATGGAGAAGATAAACAGCTGGGGAGAGCACAAGGTAATTTTGGAGGGGTCCTGAGCAGCGTGATGAGCAAAGGGACGCTGTGCTTCCCCTTGCACCTGCTCTTCCCCCCAAGGCTTTGTGCTCAGCCACACCGCAGCTGTGCAGGCTCACAGCTCCCTCAGGGCAGCCTGACTCTGCCCTGGCTCCAGAGGCAGCTGCAAAGGAGGGGAGAGACAAGTTCTGCTCTCCTCTTGCAACCTCCAGCCCAAATGATTCCCAGAGAGGAGAGGAGAAAGCCAAGCAAGGCATTTCTACAGTGCCCAGACACTGCAATCCTGTGTCCTCCTTACCCTGGAGAGGGACGTGCTCTGCCACCCTCCCTCTTGCAGCCCACGTGTGCTGATGGATCAGGTGACAGAATCAGAATCACAGGGTGGTGTGGGCTGGAAGACACCTTAAAGATCATCTCATTCCAACGCCCTGCCATGGGCAGGGACATCTTCACTATCCCAGGCTGTTCCTAGCTCCATCCAACCTGGCCTTGGGCATTTCCAGGAATGGGGCATCCACAGCATCTCAGGGCCTCACCAACCTCACAAGGATGAATTTCTTCCCAATATCCAATCTAAGCCTACCCTCTTTCAATTTAAAACTATTCCCCCTTGCCCTATCACAACACACCCTTGTAAAAAATCCCTGTTTCAACTATTTTGACTTACACTTCATTTTTGCTCAGACCTGGCCTTTCCATGGCATCCCACTGCCAGTCTGCCACACTCCCCTTCTGCCCTCACTCCTCATGTGCTCTGCATCATTTTATGCCTCAATCAAACCAATACAACCACTTCAAGAGAGTAGTTAGGGAAGGATCTGTGCTGGTTTCAAATAGCTTCCAGAACTGGTCACCCTCTTCTGTAAGAGATTAAAAAGGAATCACTAAGAAAGGAGCGAGGCAGAAAGATAGCACGAGGAAATAAATAAATTAATGTATATAGTTACTTTTGGTTAGTCTCAATGTGCAGTCCCATCCCAGGGTGCCTTGTTCAGCGCTCATTTGAAGTATTAGTCACTTTTTCCATTAGAAGCTGTTATTCTAGAGGGATTTATAATGGATCTGTAAAATTGTCTCCAGGCTTTGCTTGGGATCTGAGCTTTCAATCCATGGACAGAATGTAAAGAAACTACAGTTGTTTGATTTATAGGGACAGGGCACAGGGAGCGAGGGAATTTTTCCATGCTCAGTGGAAATAAATTCACATAGTGCCTCCAGTGCACAGGCACTTACTGCTCCAGAAAATTCACCAGTTGGGTGCAATCTCACACTGGCCAAGAGGAAAGCAGCAAATCAATGATTATTTAATATCTCCCTGCCTGAGACCCAGCCCTGGTCTGTGGCTCCTCACCAGGACCCACCCAGCCCACTGGTGGGTGTGACAGCCTCATTCCACTCGGGTTCAGAAATCCTGCCCTTGGCAAAACTTTCTCAGTTCTAATTCCTACCAGGGGCATTCCTTAACCCACTACAGAGGCTCCCTGACAGAGAACCTCATGATTTTTTTCCTGGGGAGGCCTATGGCTCATTTAAACTTTGTTCTTGTTTCTTAATATGCACCTGCCCAAAGGCTGGGAGGGATGAGGAAGGGCTGGTGGTCTGCTGTAGGTGACAACAGCTCCTGCATAGCAGAGGCGTTCGGAAAAAGTGAGAATGGGGAGGCGACAACCCCTCTGGGAATCACAAACCCTGGAAAAACATCCCAACACTTTGCTGATGGTCCTCCTCCATGCCATCCATTGCTGAGGATAAGCCCTTTTGCAGGGTAGCCCTGACCTTGGCCAACTTTCACCCAAACTGCTGCTGGAGGTAGGGCTGGACAGGGAAAAGGGGAAGGACTAGGGACAGGGATGCACACCAGGACAGAGGGAGGGAGAGTCAGAACCTTCTTGCAGCTTCCTGCAGCACCGCTCAGCAAAGCACCGAGCCGAACGTGGACGCCTGAAGGAAACAATAATCTAAAATTGGAACACGGCAAATTATTTATTCAAACTACAGCCTTCCCTCCCCCCTTGATTAGCAAACCGCTGGGGAGTCAGCCCTGATTTTCTTCAGACAGATGCAAACGCTCTCCTCCTCTCCCTGTGCCACAAGCTCAGCCCGAGGGGGGCTGAGGAGCTCGTTGGTATTCGCATTGTGTAGCAGCTCCTTCAATTCACACGTTGTTCTGCTCTCCGGCTGGAGCACAAACTTTTTCTTTGGGAGCACACACTGCAAATGATGAATTTGTTTGTTTTCTGCCTTTTTTTTTCTTTTTTTTTTTTTTTCCCAGGGAAACATTTTGACTGCAGTGTGCAAACACTTCCCCACACACTCACTCAACTACTTGCGCCTAATAACAAAACAATCTATATGAAGCATTGCAACTCAGATCCCTGATTCGAGTTTTTTGGGGGGGTTGTTCGTGTTTCCATTCATCATTTATATAAAAAGCCCTATGAAGCTTTGAGGAGCAGACAGGAGGACAGGTAACAGATCTCGGGTATGCTGCAGAACTGAACTGGGAGATCCCAGCACCGAAATCCTGTCCCCATTTAAGTCAGAGGCAAAACGTCCACACGAGAGCCAGAATTTCACCCCTGGGACTTTGGCAGTGGGAGACACAGAGCTTGGCAACAAACAGGGAAGGCTGTGAAGGGTTCAAAGTATCAAATGAAGCTGAGCAGAGAGACATGAGAGGAACAAAGGAAGTTCACGTCACTATAATTTATTGATGATCTTGGCCTGATTGCTTCAGTGTTTTGTCTTAGCAGAGCCCACCCTGGGCAGCAGCGAGTCCTGCACGTCACTTGGCCGTGCGGATGTGGAAGTGATGTGATGATTTACAAAGTTTGCTTCATTAAATAATAAAGTAAATAAAAAAGCAGCACGCTGGATCTCACCCTCACCCAAGCTCTTGCTGGGAACTGGCCAGGATCTCCTGTCCTCATCCTCAAAAGAGCACAGCTCCAGAAATTCCCTCACCATAGCTCACATTTTTCCAGCTCTACCAATTCACCCAGCAAGTGCCATGGGAAATTGGTACAGCTGAGGCATCCAAACTTGCTTAAGAATGAGCCAAACTGATTCTTTTCTTCAAGGAGGAGGGTCTTAAGGAAAATAAAATGCTGGGGGTTCTTTGTCCCTGTATCTTGGATACAAGAAAACTCCCACGCTTGTCAGAAATCAGAACAGCACCAGCAGCTCATGGCTTTTTCTTTTTCTCATTCCCCCCCTTTTCTTTTCCCCCAGGGTGTGAGTGTGTGCTTAGAGCAGGATGACATAGTGATGGGTTTAAGAGACAGTGAGTGCTGAGACGCCAATTTCTAACGTAATACAGGGTACAGCTTCTTTCTTGTGTGATCACGGGTGAAAAATCAAAAGAAATAATCCAGGAGACTAAATACACTCCCCAGCCATTCAACTCACTCATAAATATGCTGAGCAAGACGCTTTGTGCAAGAAAACCTCATCACTTCTATTCTGTATTTTGTTTAATGATGAGTCAAATCCTCCACACTCATCTTCCGATTGTGCTAGTCTGGGTTCACAGGGGTGCATTCCCACCCTCTTTCCTTTCAATTTTAGGCTGATGGGTATCATTTCAAAACTAGCAGGTTCCCAGTGTCTCTCTCCCACCTTCAGTCCTGTGTTTGCTCCCTGGCTCTTTGCAGAAAAAGAAACGTTGTCACAGCACCCAATTCCAAAACAAAGAGTTTTAACTAACTCACCCCTTGGCACCAGCAAACTATTCAAAAGAACTTTGCAGGAAGCCTGCCCTTTCCTGCGCACTGCTAACGCTCCAAAATAAAGAAAATTTGGGAGAAGTCAATGAAATTAAAATCCTGGATGCTGTCATTTCCTTTTTAAGGCTGGAGGAGCCCTGGAGCCCATTAGCTATTGACAAGAAGGGGACCCTCCAGATCCAGGCTGGATGCGCAGACACTCAGGGAACAACCAGACCTTTGTTTATCATCAATGCAGATGTCATAAGCACCAGGAACCCGCACCCAGCAGGGACCGACCCGTGCCTACCAGGGACCGCACTCTCCACACACTGGGAAGTTTATTCCTACAGAAATATATGCACGTCAATAGGCACATTCTATCTAAGCACTTCATCCCGAGGAGGTTTGAAATAACTCCTTCCAAACCAGCACAAACCCCAGCAGGGTGGGATGCGGGTGACCAGGGTGGGATGCGGGCGGACCTCTCCATGAAAGAGGCTGAAGGTACCGATATGTTTTGGCACAGATGAAGTTTGGTTTGCTTTGCAACATCGCCACCGAGCCGCCGGGACTCCTCTCACAGAGTAATTTTCTTCTTTTGTTCAGTTGTATTTTATAAGAACAAACTTATTAATTGAAAACTATTTTTTCCCCCCCGTTTTGTTGAATTTTAAGCATCAGTAAGTTCCCCTCGGCGCAGCAGAGCGTTCCCGAAGCGCAGCCCGACATGCCTCCACCTTGCTGCTCCGAGCCGAAGTTGCGGAGGAGCGCAGCCCTGCCCGGGGCAGCGGGCACCGAGGCGCTTTTGTTCCCGGTCCCGGGGAGCCGAACCCGCAGGTCCCCGGCGGCTCCCCCCGACCCCGAGCGCCTCCACTCACCAGCTGCAAAGTGCAGAGGAAGATGAGGGTGCAGCGGCCGGTGCAGCATCCCATGGTCCCCGAGCAGCGGGGGCAGGGCAGGGCAGTGGCCGCGGCCCCGCCGCCGCCCTGGGCTCGGCTCTGCCCGCTCCGCAGCGGAGGTCGCTCGGTGTCGCTCGCTCGGTGTCGGTCGGCGGCGAGGCAGGATGACGGCGAACGGGACGGCGGAGCCGGTGCAGATCCAGTTCGGGCTGATCAATTGCAGCAACCGGTACCTGACGGCGGAGGCGTTCGGTTTCAAGGTGAACGCCTCGGCCGCCAGCATGAAGAAGAAGCAGATCTGGACGCTGGAGCAGGACGGGGAGGACTCCAGCGCCGTCCTGCTCAAGAGCCACCTGGGCCGGTACCTGGCGGCCGACAAGGACGGGCGGGTGAGCTGCGACAGCGAGGAGCCGGGCCCCGACTGCCGGTTCCTGGTGCTGGCCCACGGCGACGGGCGGTGGTCGCTGCAGTCCGAGCCCCACCGCCGCTTCTTCGGCGGCACCGAGGACCGCCTCTCCTGCTTCGCCCCCGCCGTCTCTGCCGCCGAGAAGTGGAGCGTCCACCTGGCCATGCACCCCCAGGCCAACCTGTACAGCCTGGCCCGCAAGCGCTACGCGCACCTGGGGCCCCGCCGCGACGAGCTGGCCGTGGACCGCGACGTGCCCTGGGGCGTGGATGCGCTCATCACCCTCCTGTTCGTGGAGNACGCCGGGATGCGCCCCCCGGGCCCCCGCAGGCGCGCTGGGATGCTCCGGGCCCGGCCGGCCCTCCCCCGGGAGGCGGGGGCAGCTCGGATTCCCCGGACGGGGCAGCCTCTCCTTTCTCTCTCGGCCGGACGCGGGTGAGCGGGCCGTGCTGGGACACAGGGCTGTGCTGGCCAGGTGTGTGTGCGGGACACACGGGCTGTGCAGCTCCTCTTTCACAAATGCTCCCCCGTGCAGGTGCTGCTGCGTTCACCCTGGACGTTACCAAGCCCCAAACTAACCTAAAATACAGTGGTTTTTCCCCAAAAATTTGCCAGAGAAGGTGCACATAGAAGACAAACTCCTAAAGGGCGATAAGACACGGGTTTCTTTCAAATGCACATTTGTGGGTATTTTAAAGTACACAGGCTTGGGAAGAAATCCCAGCTGACTGGGAGCAGAGGGAGGTAGGAGAGCATCTCTCTACTTCCAAAAAGTGCTTCTGTTTGAGCACCACTCGCTGTACCCTGCACCTGTAGAAAAGCAAGTCAGTCGACTTTAATTGTGACCACAAGGCACGGCTGATGCCAGCCCCGCCTGTGCACACACACACTGCTGGCCGGCCTCGGGAGCAGGTCACACTCCACACGCCGTGATTGGGACAGACTTGCTGCTAAGCTCTGCACAACAGGATAAGAAGCTTTGGGAGAGCCTCATCTGGTGACAAGGTCGTCTCTTTGCAACCTCCGGTGGCTCCGGCGTCTGCACAACAGTTTGTTCTGTCGCCTCTGGCTGTCCCTTCTTCCTCTGAAGCAAGTCAGGGTTTCATTTCTGCCTCCAAAGCCGGGTGTGACTCCCCACCAGCAGCGATCAGCTCCACTTTCATTCTAAATAAGCACAGCCCGCTGCTCCTTGCAGTGGGGTGAGGAGGTGGCAGCTGAAATCATAGCAGCTCTATCATTTCACCCGAGGAAAACTGCCTGCCTATACCCTAAGGAAGCAGGATTGGTTCTCAAGTGCTAGGAATGTTTAAAACCTTATATTAACAACATTATTGTTATTCACATCACCCACGGGGAAAAACAAAACAAACAAACAAACAAAGTCTGAATACATGAGATTAGAAGGCAGACTCTGAATTGATCACAAATCCTTCTGGTTTTAAATGGTAAAATATATTGATTATCTGACCTGTGCACTGTGCATAACCAAGGCATCAATTAATGCAGTCAGGTACAATAAAACACATTTTATTACAGGTGAAAGAAAAACACCCAGAGAAGAAACCAATTTATTTCACCCAGAAAACTGTGGACTGAGGAAGCTTTGGCAGTATTCGTATTCCCCAGAAGGTGGATTTTGAATGGAAAAGGCAACGGAGCAAAGATCAGTTTATTTTTTCATGAATGCAGATAAAACACTCCTTACAAACTGCATAGGGAGGTCTCACTCTGCACTGTAGGGTCAGGCAACTGACATCAGAATTAGAACAGGAGCTCAAGTCAGGCAAAAGCAGCCTGGGGTTAGGCTGGACTTGTTACATGCTCCGGAAACTGCTGGGATCAGCAGGGGAAAACTGGGATACAGCCATGCAGGGCAGAACCTGGCTTTTGTGCCAGCTCTTAAGGTTTTCTGCATCTCTTGTTCCACCTCCTGCTTCTAAAACCCTCCTGTAGGCATTGCTATTTTCCAGCTCAGTTGTACCACAAAGGAGACACAGTGTGAAACAGCAAAAGGTATTGCTGCTGAAAGGAGAAGTTTGACAGAAATAGCATTTTTTTCCACCTGCACTTTTATCTTGGTAAGCTCTGCAGAAACCAAGCATGGCTTGGCTAGGACTCCACATGCATGTGAAGGAAAACACAGACTTTCCTGAGCTTTTTAATAAGGGTGAGGCCATAGGAATAACACAACCTGTATTTCAAAGAGAGACTTAAAACTCCCAGAGCCTGATACTGTAATCTCCATTCATATGATTTCTTATCTGTGTATCTGACCATCTGAATTCCTGCACGAGTGCTGCAGGACCACACATCTACCTTGAAAGTTTAATTCATAAAACAAATTACAACTTTAATTTAGCAAAAAAAGAAAGACAACCGAAATTTCTCAGTTCCTGAATTTTGTATTTCCTGAAGTATAAACTCACCCTCAGCTTTTGCAGATGAAATGTTGCTTCAATAGTCCAGTCTGAATAATAAGAAGGATTTCTCTTGATTAAGGGGTTCTGGATGGTGTCTGAGGGATGCTTAGTGGGGATATTGGTGTACAGGGATATGTGTACACAGAGCAAGGCAATCACAGGCAGCTGCATCCCTCACCATCAGGAGAGGACCAAGGACCAAGAATTGGTCAAGCGGTCATTATGGCAGCCCTCTCCAAATACCAGGCCACAGGGATATTTATGAGATCCTGGTTGTTTCTTTTATCCTCCTTTAATTCCTGAGGATGTGCATGTAATTTAACATTCTGATGCACATCCTGACTTCATGGAGGGAATGGAATCCCCCCATGGGATGGGAAACAGCCTCAGGTTCAAATGATGCTCCAAAGGCTGAATGTCCCTATTCTTAGACAGTGCTTGAATCAAGAGCTTCTTCCCATCCAAATGTATTGTCACATGGATCCAGCTGCATTACCAGGGGTGATTAGCCTTAGATACTGGGACCTTATTGTCGCCTGATTACATCCAAATTTCTGGGAGAAGTCACAGGTTTGCTTTAGAAGAAATGAAGAAACAAAATTAGCACACTTGGAACAAAGCAGCAGTACCTTACCACAGCTTGTTATCTCTAATACCTGCAGCTTCCTCGCACTGACAGATCAAGAGGAGCAGTAGAGGCTAAAAGTATCAGCTGGGGACGTGTCTCTTCACAGCCAAACCCTGTAATTGTCACAGCTGCTGAAGGCTGGAGATGGTCTTACATCCCACAGTACCATGGGATGCTTTATTCACTCAATTCATTTACATCCACCTCCTCTCCATTTCAATAATGGCAGCTGGGTCACGGTGCCTTGGCAGATGTCTGATCAAACACAGCGGTGTCAGAGTGTTCCAACATTTCCATGCACACCCCAAAGGCAAAGCAGTGCTCCAGGAGTTAATCAGCCAGCCCACTCCCCTACTCCAGGGCACACAGCAGCCCTCCCAAGGTGGCATGTCACTTCTTATTTCTGTGTCACAATTAGAAGTAAGCCCCACTGCCAGTGGCCTGAGTGGTGGCAGCTCAGCACTGCACACAGCAGGATTTCCTGCAGACACATCCAAAATGGTTACTGGGAAGTCTTCACATGCAAGGTGCATGAGCTGAGAAACTTCCTGCCACAGGACAATGTGGAAGTTTAAAGTGTACAACTGAACTAGGATAAATCATCTTCCTGCATGGGAGGAGGAAAGGGTTCTCTCTTGTCTTCTCAAGACTAACACTGGATGCAGGGAAAGGATATAACTGCTGGTGACCTGAGGTTGCCTCCAGTCACCTTGGGCAGCCAGCTCTGGCTGTAAAAACTGGACTCTGTGATATGTCCCATGTGTCTTATTGAAGGCTTTAAACATAGAGAAATATCACTGAACCAGCTAGAAAGACAGTATGAACAAAAGGACAAGAACTCTTGACTGTCTAATTTTAAACTTGTAATTTTTTTAACCTGCCATTACCCTGGGCTAATAACTGCTGCTCTGGGACTGAAGCCATCTGAAGCCAAGACCATCATTGTAGAAGACCCAAGAGAGGTGGCAATAGCCCAGACGTGTCCTTCTTGTCTCCAGAGGGACCAGGGAGGCAGAGAAGCTAAACTGAGCAGCATCACAGCGGCACACCTTCAGCAGGCCATGGCCAGAGGAACCGCACACTGACCTTCCCCTCCTTTTGCAGCCTGGTGAATTAATTGCTGAGGAAAACAGCCTGGTGACAGCAAAGCACAGTGTTTCAAAAATTGTTCTCATCACTGCACAAGAAAGGAAAAATTCTCAATGACTTTTACGCTTTGAAATGGTTTCCCAGCAGCCCAGGGCGATCTGTAAAATTCATCAGAACTGGTGTGTGAAATCTGTCATTTTCTCTCTGATCCCTGTGAACTCACCAATGCTGGGAAAAGCCCCTCCTAATCAGGGCTTTCCGGCATTTTTACACCACCATCATCTGCATTTCACATTTGTAATTCTCTAATATTAACTTGCTGAGCTGCACAACAAATTCTCATCACTCTTTGATGAGCAGGTAGAGGATGGCAGAGGTAGAAGGCAGATTCCCCAAATTCTCTGGTACGTCAGAGTAAAAGCAAGGTAAACTTTGTCCATGGTGAAATTTGTCCATATCTGGCTGATGCAGCTGCCTTTGTGTGATCTAGGCCTGTATGAAGGAAACCTGACAGGCATCGTTCCTCCCCTGGATCAAACTCATCAGCAGCACCCGTTTACCTCCACACTGGAGTCAAGGTTCAAATTCACACCTTTACAGCTTTACTAATGTGGTAATCCTGCCATAACATCCCACAAACAGCCACTCACAACCCTCTTTTTTCTATTTCTCCATGGCTATAAAGGAAGAACATGGAGACAGACACACACTGGAAGTTGCCAGAATTTTTCTTAGTCTGAGGGGGTGCCTTGTGCCACAGACCACTTCACCCGAGAAGCAGCACTGAAAATCCTCCCTCATCCACTGAAATCCCGCACCTGTCTTGCTGGTCTGGAGACCAAAAACATGTAACAACTACTGAACTTGAGAAAGGCTGCTCAAATTAGTGTCGTAGTACTTCTGGGGATGGCATGCGCAAGGACAGAACCCAGGGAACAGCATGGAGTTGTGTCAGGAGAGGTTTAGATTGGATATTTGGAACAGGCTTTTCCCCCAGAGGGTGGTTGGGCATTGGAACAGCTCCCCAGGGAAGTGGTTTTGCCTCCCAGACTGGCAGAGCTCACACAGTGTTTGGACAATGCTCTCAGGCACATGAAGGAATTGTTCTGCGTGGGACCAGGAGCTTGACGGATCCTTGTACCTTCCAACCTAGGATATTCCATTATTGTATGTCAGCATTCCTGACAAAACAGGCACAGCCAGGAGCAGAGAGGAGGCAATTCCTGAAGGGTTAAACCCTGCAGGAAAAGCACAGCTGACACCCCAGCACCTCAGCCATGCAATCCGAGTAGCTGGCATGAT